AGTGTTTGACTGTCAGTGAGTGTGTGTCTGTGTGTGTCTCTCAGTGAGTGTCTGCCTGTGTGTCTGTCTGTCAGTGAGACAGTATGTCAGTGAGTGAGTGAGTGAATGTGTGTGTGTGTGTGTGTGTCTGTCAGTGAGTATCTGCCTGTGTGTGTATGTCTGTCAGTAAGTGTATGTATGTCAGTGTGTGTGTGTGTGTCTGTCAGTGAGTGAGTGTATGTATGTCAGTGAGTGTCTGTGTGTGTGTGTGTGTGTGTGTCTGTCTGTCTGTCAGTGAGTGAGATGTAGCAGGCTTATGCTATATGATCATGTAATGTAACTAAACCCCCATTATTTTTTGCCTAAGTGAGGTGTTTTTAAATAAAACTATTACAATCTGTGAGATTTGAAATCATTGTTTAGTGAATAAGCGAGTGTGCTGAATTGTGTATTTTGTATAGTGAGTGAGTATATGTGTCAGTGAGTGTGTGTGTGTGTGTGTGTGTGTGTGTCAGTGAGTAAATGAATGTTTGTCAGTCTGTGTGTGTGTGTCTGCCAGTGTGTGTCTGTCAGTGAGTGAGTGACATGATGGGGGCGGCAAAATGGATCTTTGGCTAGGGCAGCAGAAATCCTAGCACCGGTCCTGAGCGTTTATTAAGGTTAGTAAGTTAGTGTAATGCATAAAGTAAAGTCTTACGGGTTTGGAAGGTATGCAGAGGTGGGCTGCAAAATAAATAAGAGGGATGGAAGATATGAGTTGTGAAGCAAGGCTAGGCTGTAACTTGTTTAGTTTAGAAAAAAGGAATCACAGAGAGGATATGATAGCATGTCATGTCTAGTACATTACAATCAGCTGATAATTAACATATACAAAAATATACTAACATTTATTTATGATTAAGAATCATATGACCCTCAGTGCGAAACCCGCTCAGCACCACCTATTTATTCCTTAATATGCAATCTCCACATTATTTGTGCTTATCAATTATTTATAGATAGATGTTAGCTCTTGCAGAATTGTCCCCGATAAATCTTAACATACAGCACGCTCACTTATTCAGAGTACCAAAGCTCTTATTTCCAGACTGACAACTTGGAAAGGCTTAATACATATCCCATTGGAAAACGAAATGCTAACTAGCTGTGAATGTGTCTTATATGTTTATATGCAATATCTTAATCAGTGTTTGAAAAGCCGACCCTTATCGGTAACATATTCATGAAAGATTGCATGTCTTAGCCTTAAAATATTTGGCAGTGAACCAGGAACACAGAACCGAGAATTAAAATGGTAAAGGGCTCGTGGAAAAGGCTTTGTGCTAGAAGCCCATTCATTTTCTGAAAGTTTCTATCTGCTCTGATTTTGCACCATTCACGTCGCTAATAAACAAATCAGTGGGATGTCAGATTTTGTGTTTGCTAATGTCTTTTCTTCATATCTATTTCAGGTTATCTGCTTTATGAAGATTTTGTCTCATGCAGAGTTTAACGTTTTTCTGTTTTGACAATTTAAACACTGTCTCAACACTGTTTAGCTGAATCAAGAGAGGTCCTTAGCAATTAATTTCAGCAGTCAATGGTATTCTCAAACTGGGCAACTCCCCTTGGACCTGTGAGCCACAACAGGAAAAAAAAAAACTGTGCTTGTAAAAAAAAAAAGAGTGAGTCAATTCATTAGACGATACCGCAGGAGCAAAAGTGGCGGGGGATGTCAGTTCTTGCACCACCATTTCAATACTAATGAGAGTCATTGCATATTCATAACCCCTAATAATACAGTCAGTTTCTTGCAAAAAAAAGAAAAAGAAAAAAAAAACTTTTGTCACTGAGGCTTCACGGCAAGAGCAAAGCATTGCACTGTTCATGTCGCACCACTTCCGCCAAGTGAGTGCGAAAGAATGATTGATTGTTTTGCAACGCAGCTTGACAGGGAGCCGAGAGATAGTGCCCCAAGGGTTCTGAAACTAAGCTTAGTTTGATTACAAGGCCTGAAGTAATCAAAGAAACAAAAGAGAAAAGGGGGGTGGGGGGGGAACTTTCTTATTTGAAAAGATAAAGGAATACTCAAAAGGTATAGTTTTTCTTGCAGAGTCTTCTGGGTAATTATATGTAGTCGTTTGAAACAGTTCATATCGGTTTTTATTATGGAAGGAGAAGAATAGCATGCCCTAGTGAACTTGTTCTTAGCACGAACGAGCGATGCTGCATCTCTTAGTAGATACAAGTATGAAACAGTATTCCATCGATATCAATAGCACAGCTTTTCTGAACTGAACCTGTCACATATTAAAATTAGCTCTGTCAAGTGCTCCACTACCCAGAATGCCTTGCACTTTTATATTCCTTTTCATTTTTTTTATAGCATATTCTCTTCTTCTTCTTTTTTTTTTTTAAGAAACTGTCTCTGTTAGGGACTTAGTAGAAAAAAAAAAAAGAAAATCCTCAGATTGAAACCAATTGACCCAACGATATCCGTCTGCTGGGGTTGCTAACAGCAAACCTTGGAGTCAGAAAAGGAAAATGTGTGTTTCAGCAGGGCTTTGAAAAAAAGCCTTGAGCATTTTCTTATAATGATGTCTTCAGCTGGATTGCCAGCACATTTCCACATCTTCTTGACAAGCAAGTAGGCTATAAAATATACATAAAATTAAATAAAACACAACATTATAACAAAGGTTTTAAAATGTGATGGCATATGGCTTTTAACTATCTCCAAATGCACACAAAAATTAAATATGCCCGTACACATCAAACATTGCCATTTTTTTTTATCGATTTTTTTTTTTGAAACTATTAAAAATCTTATACTAATCTGCTAGGGCCTTAAAGACATCGAGTCCTCCGCCGTTATGATTGATTGAGGTAATTTTGATTATCCACAGATATTTTACGTGTTAAGACATTAAATTGTCAACCATATCAGTTTGATTGTAGCAAAACATGAAAACATTGACTTTTGTCTAGTTAGAGAAATTTATTTTTCCCAGAATGGCAATTCTTTATGTAGAAACTAGGCAACTTGCCAATTCTTCATGTCATATATTGCAGCTTGCAAATGCATTCCATATTTTTCGAATGTTTCTTTTAAGCTCCTATGACTCAAGCACTGGTTATTCAAATCCACTTGTAATAAACAGGTTTGAGAATTTGACGAAGCTTTTTTTTTCATTCGCCACATAGAAAAGTTCCCTTTTAAATGGAACAAATGAATACTATTTAGCGAGATGCAATGAATGGATGTCTACAGTCAGAACCACTCAGTCATGTAAAGTATGTCTTTAGCAAGAACGAATAGAAAAGGGGAGAAAAAAAACAACCCTCCTTGGACCAAGGCTTTCTGAACGAGTTTGATTAATGTGTTTTACAAGAAGTAAGAATTGTTCATCAAAACTGTTAGTAAGCTGACAGCTTTCAAAAAGACCGTTTGTTCTCCAAATGAGTGATTTGTGAGATCCATTTAAAAAATACACAATACAAGTGCTGTGATACAGTAGAGATATTTATTCAGACGCAAATAACTAAACAAGGATTAAATGTCCTTTATTTTTAAAGTGACTCTTGGACTAAATTTTCTTTCACATAAATCAGTTTAAAACAATTTTCCCAACAGTTTAACGGTACTTTCATCTAACCAAAGTATTTGAATTGCACTTATAAATACCACTTCCAATTGGACATGTTTTTCAGCGTGGAGGCAGACATTTTGCAATGACGTCACAGCTGTTACTATTTAAAGAGAAAGCTGAAATGAGTGTGGTTATAAGCAGATGCCTACACGGTTGTAAAGAGAGAAGCCAAAGTGAATTTAATGAGAATTTCAAACTTAAGGCCAACCTGAGAGCAGACATAGAGAATTTTTCCAATCCAGCTATTTTGACCTTAAATTTAAAATTATTTTTAAATTCACTTTGAAATTCAGTTTAGTAAATAGCTAGTGATGTCCCGAACTGTTCAACAAATGGTTCGCGAACGGTTCGCCACGAACGGTTCGCCGCGGACTCATCATTGAGTAAACTTTGACCCTGTACCTCACAGTTAGCAAACACATTCCAGCCAATCAGCAGCAGACCCTCCCACCTCCTGGACAGCATCCATTGTGAAGCTGCATTCTTAGTGAGCTGTCCAGGAGGTGGGAGTGTCTGGGAGGGAGGGTCTGCTGCTGATTGGCTGGAATGTGTCTGCTGACTGTGAGGTACAGGGTCAAAGTTTACTCAATGATGAGTCCGCGGCGAACCGTTCGTGGCGAACCATGGCGAACCGTTCACGAACCGTTCGGCGAACAGTTCGGGACATCACTATAAATAGCCCTGACAGACTTATTTAATAAAAAGCAGATTTTACTGACTGCCAAACTCTGATTCGACAAAAATTAGTCTTGACATTATTGGGAAGAGAGACAAGTCTGCATGCTTTTAATGTTAGCTTTTAATGCTGAAAATCAGTTCACATTCCAGAATTTGATGTTTTGTGAATAAGGCCCTAATGTCTACTTATATCCTTTTTTTTTGTCCATGACTACAATAAGAATTTGCTGAGCTGTCCTGAGTAGCCCCCATTTTTTTTTTCAATTTGACAATTTTTATTGGTTTCGCCATTTGGTACAGAAGAGAAAAAGGGGCGGAAGGGGGTTACATGATTTGCCTTCATCAAACATTTCAATGACATCTTTACATTAATACATTAAACAGCGTGAACTATGACTTGTCATGTACATCACTTCCTTCCTCTCGTCCTGGTTGACAAGTATCTAGTACCAGTGGGGGGGGGGCATAAGGGGTAGGGGTAATCCTTTAGCTCACATGCATATCCCGTATAGTTGTAAAGCTCTTGGTCTCATTGGCCTTATCCCGGCCGTCATGTTATTTCCAGCCTATACTCGCCTTTGAGCTTTCTATGTATCTTAGTCCTGCACTTGGCTCCCCAATTTAACCAGATCAAAACGGTAAACTAAAGAACTATGTATACGTGGGTTCTTATGCGCAGTTATTTGCCATCACCTCTCCCTCTTTGTGTCACTCTCACTCCTTGCTCAGTCCCAACTCCCATTTCGCATGCGCCAGGTTGGCATATTTGTTGGAGGAGCTTTGCCTATGCAGTTCCTTTTCATATACCATATTCGTGGTGATTTGTTGAATCAGGGCCTCTCTAGTGGGTGCCTGATCCTTCTTCCACGCTCTTGCTATTAGAGTGTTTGCTGCTATGAGAATATGAAATAGTAGACGTGAGTCTGTGATGTTGAGCTCTTCCAACCCCATAAACAGGAGTCCGTACTCCGGAGTAAGTGCGATTTCCCTGTCCAGGGCCATTCTCGCTATCTCCTCAACTTCCCTCCAGTATGTTGCCACTTTCGGGCACGTCCACCAGATATGAAACATTGTTCCTATATCTCCCTGACACCTCCAGCATGTGTTCGGGGTGTTTGGATATATCTTTGCCAATCGCTCCGGTACCAGGTACCAGCGGTATTGGAGTTTTCGCATTTGTTCCAAGTGAGAGGCACAACTCGTCCTCTTTTTGTGCGCTAAAAATGCTTTTCCCCATTGTTGGTCAGTAAAGGTTTTGCCTATGTCCTCCTGCCAATCTCCCATGAATTTGTCTGGGGGGTCTGTGTGCGATTGGATCAGCATATTATAAAGTGTGGATAACAGTCTCTTGGGTTGTGTGGTGGCTGTACACATCTGGTCAATATGCTTTGTGTTGGCCGTTGCAGTGGGGCTGGTGGATCCTTGTAACATGGATTTTAATTGTAGGTATTGGAAAATGGTGTTGTGCGGTAGTGAGTATTTTCTTTGTAAGTCTGGGAAGTCAAGTATTTTGTCTTGGTCATATAGGTGGCTTACCCTGTTACATCCCCTGCTTGTCCAAGGTCTGTAGTTGAAGGCTGGGTTTGCCAGATATAGGCTGTAGAGGAGAGTCGCTTGCACCCACCCCCTGTCTTGTCCCCATTGTTTTGTGGCAGTGTCCCATACCTTCAATAAGAGTCGCGTCGTGGGTGGCACGTCCTGGTGGAGTTTCCTGTGTCTATGGGGTATCCAAAATAGGTACTTCAGACCCTTGGGGCACGCCCACGAGGCCTCCATGTCTACCCACTGTGGTACTTCCTTGCTAGCGTGTGTTTGTACAGCCGTGGCCAGAATAGCTGCCCTATAGTACTGCCGAACGTCTGGCATTCCCAGGCCACCGTTTGCCTGCTGCCTGCATAATATTTTTGCTGATACTCTTACTTTTTGATGGGCCCATATGAAGCCCGTAAATAGCTTATGTAGGTTATCTAGGTAACTCTTTGGTATGTGGATTTGTAGGGTTCTTATTAAATATTGGAACTTCGGCAACACTAGCATTTTTACTGCGGCCATCCTTCCCAGCCATGACAGAAACTTGCCTTCCCACCCTTTCAATGTGTTCGCTATAGACTTCAGCAATGGGTCATAGTTCGCGGCTACGAGGTTTGTCGGGTTTTTTGTGATTTTAATGCCTAAGAAAGTTAGATGGTCTTGCCTCCAGTCTAGTGTGAAGGACCGCTGTAGCAGGTCCAGTATGCCAGCCGGGACCCCCACTCCCATAGCCTGTGTTCTCGTTATGTTGAGTTTGTAGTATGAGTGGGTGCCATAAGTAGTTATCTCTTTCAAGAGATTGGGGAGTGAGATCTGGGGGCTGGGTAAGCGTCAGTAGGACATCGTCAGCAAATAAGTTGGTAGTGTATTCTCGTTCGTTGATCCTGACACCATGAATGTTTGGATTATGTCTGATTTTTACCGCTAACGGTTCTAGGGCCAAAACATATAGCAGGGGTGACAAGGGGCATCCCTGCCTGGTTCCGTTGGTTAGTGTTATTGGTTCCGAGAGGAAACCTGAGTTAAGCACGTGGGCTCTCGGCGAGCTATACAGGGCTTCTACTACTGAAACAAACCCCTCCGGGATGTCAAACTTTCTCAACACTGCCCGCAGAAATTATTAGTTTAGGCGATCAAAGGCCTTCTCTGCGTCCAGGGAGATCATCAGCCCCCCTTGTTTCTGTTTGCGGAGGTAATGTAAGATATTTAGTACTTTCCTAGTATTATCCGATCCCTGTCTCCCCTTGATAAAGCCTACTTGATCGTTGTGGATAATTTCGGGCAGTATTGACCCTAGCCGTAGCGCGTATGTTTTGGCCAAGATTTTAGCATCTGTGTTTAGGAGGGATATGGGCCTAAAGTTCTGTGGGATTGTGGGTGCCTTCCCTGGTTTGGGCAGGGTAACTATGTGCACAGTCAGCATCTTAGGGGGTAGAACTCTATGTTCTGTAGCTTGTGAGTAGGCTTTAACTAGGTATGGCGCTAGTTTTTGTGTCTGTTTTCTGAGGTAGGAGGCCCGACGTATTAATAAACCTCGTACTACAGGCTTGTGTGCCATCCAGACCGTTGTGGCCGACACCTCAGGCGTCTCATTTTCCGCAAAATACCGTTTCATGTCTGTGGTCAGGTCGGCTACAAACTGTGGATTTAAAAGAAGAGAATCATTGATTCTCCATGGGCTGCGGTGTTTGAAGTCATACATGTCTTTCACCTGCAGAAGTACTGGCGCATGGTCTGACCATGTAATGTGTGCTATGTCACAACTCAGGATTTGGTTGAGGTAGGATCCCTGGAGGAGGAAACCATCTATTCTAGAGTACGAATTGTGAACAGGTGAGAAGTGCGTATATGTCTTCTCTGAGGGATGTGTGATCCTCCAGGTATCGTAGTAGTGGTATGTGTGTAGCAGGGACTGGAGGGCTTTGCCCTGACGTCTAAGGGTTTTATATCTGCTACTAGCCCTGTGTATGGTGGAGTCCATGGTCGGGTCAAGAATGTGGTTGAAGTCGCCGCAAACAAGTGTTATACCTTGTTGTATAGGCTCTAGGGTTTGAAAAATTTTGTGTAGGAAGTTCCTCTGGTTTTGATTGGGTGCATAGATATTCGCGATGGTGTACTCTATATCATTGATCGTTCCCACTATCACTACGTATCTGCCCAATTGGTCTATATGCTGTGATTTTAGGGAAAAGGAGACATGTCTACTTATCAATATGGAAGTGCCCTTAGCTTTGGTTGGGGAAGTGGAATGGAATTGGTGTGGATACTCTAACTTCATAATCTGGGGGTGGTCCTTAGTACGGAAGTGGGTCTCCTGCAAGCACACCACTTCTGCGCATTGTTTCTTAAGCTCCCGGTATATTAAGTGTCTTTTTGTCGGGATGTTCAATCCCCTCACATTGTGTGTATATATTTTCATATAGGGTCAGACATGTAGGGTTGTGCTGAGTATTGCAAGTGTTTGTTGGTTGTGGGATGTCTCGCTCCTCCCAGTGCCATCAAGCGGAGCGAGGCCACCCCTAGGATCTGTAGTGACTTCCCATAGGTGACAGTATATACCTTATCTTGGATGTTAGGAGTGAGACCACCCACCAGGTCCCCATCCCAGCCCCCAGCGGTGTTGGCAACAGGCCTTCTCCCGCTGAGTACCTTAACATAACAAAATACAACAACAAAAGTATTTACAAAGTAGGACCATGCCCTTTGTGTGGCTTGGCACTTCATCCAAGTGCCTTGGGGGTAGAAGCTTGTCGCTCCTTTGCCTGGGAGGTTACTTGCGCTCCGCGCTGGCCTTTTGTCTGTGGCAGTACGTATCTTAGTGGGTTGTTTTTTTTTTGTTTTTTTTGTTTTTTATCTCTATCTCTCTTGTGCTATTTTATGTAACCCCTGTTCTGGATGACATGGTGTGGCGTAGTTACCTCTGAGGGATCCCAATCCTTTCAATACACAGAGTTAACGCTTATTACTACACCCTGGTGGCGAACTCACACTACTAATGGTTGCTAGGGATTTAGCTAGCTACGTATGAATCTTTGGGTATTAACCATCACATTGGCATAAACATTTAAACATTATGGTACTTGCGGCTCAGCAAAGTCTGTGGTTTTGGGCCCTCTCAGACCACACGAGTGTACAGTCTACGTGCGTTTCGCTCGTTTCCATCCCGGTGTTATCCTTCTTAGCTCTTTGGACCGATTGTGCTGGTGTTCACTCTCTATTCCCCATTCTCTCAGGATGTCTGTCCCTTCCTCCGGTGTTGAGATTACTGTGGTCTTTCCTGCCCTTTGCACCAGCAGCTTGACCGGGTATCCCCACCGGTATAATATGCGTTGTTCTCTGAGCACTGCCGTGATGTCCTGGAATTCTCTCCTTCTCTGAAGGGTGAACGCTGAGACATCCGCAAATATCATGATGCTGCGGTACTGCTCTGGTAGGTCCTTGCGTGTTCTACTACCCCTTAGGATGGCCTCTTTGGTATGATAGTAGTGCATACGCACCAGTATGTCCCTGGGTGCATCTTGGGGCAGGAACTTCGGTCTCGCCGTCCTGTGTATACGGTCAAAGAGAAGCATGTCCTGTGGAATGTCTGGCACCAGTGCCTTGAGGTAGGCTGTGACATGTGCTGGCAGGTCAGATATGCTCACCGTTTCTGTCACCCCCGCAGCCGCAGATTATTTCGGCGGCTTCTATCCTCTATATCCGCCAGTTTTACCTCCTGTGCTGTGAGGCGTTCCTCCATTTGCTGCAGCCGGTCTGCCAACTCATTATGTGCTTCTTCAGCTGTGGTTAATTTCTCCTCTAATTGAGAGGTCCTGGAGCCGAGATCCACTAGGTCTTTGCGTAAGTCACCTATGGAGGTTTGCACACTGTTCATTATTTTAAGCGACATCCCGTCGAGCATGTGCTGCATTATTGCCTGGGTCAAAGGCCCCTGATCAGTGGGCGCACCGTGAGTTTCCTCGATACTCTCTTCAGCGCCATCTTGGATCCCCGCCGGCAGAGCAGAGTCTCACGGAGCGGCTTGTTTTGGGGCAAAAAACTGCGTCTTGTCCGCTTTCTCCGCCTGCCGCTTGGTCTTGGGGTGAGACATTACGATTTTTGTGGGTGTATACTGCCCTTTACGCTGGTACAATTGCACAATTTAGGCCTACTGGCGCGGAGCTTCAGTTACATGCGGCTGCTCCCGTCGGTGTCCAGGCCACGCCCCCCTGAGTAGCCCCCATTTTTAAAGACCATGAGACATCTTGACTCATGTCTCTGACTGCCTCTCCGCGATTTCCAACTGGATGGCTGCTCACTTCATTAAACTCAACCTGTCCAAAACAGAACTTCTTGTCTTTCCTCCCTCAAGTGTTGCTGTCTG